ACTATATATATATATATATATAACAGATTTAAGCAGGATTTACTAATATTTAATCATTTTCATATTTAATATGTATATGTATAATATTATTTCCTAATTATTAATATCATGTGTAATATAAATAATAAAATTGATTTTTTTTTTCCTCATGTAAAAAAAAAATAATGCATACATACATAGATAATAATTTTTTTTATTATAATTCATTTTTTTCACAACAAAATATAAATGTCCGCATCTGTGAAACCTTAAAACGTTGACATAGATTTGAATTCATCATCAAAACATAGATAAGTTAATGCAATTACTGCACAAATATTGTAGATATCCAAAGTGCTTTCAATTATTCATGTAACATATTCTTTCATAACAGTTCGTATATTTTTCAGAATTTTAAATGCACATATTTATGGACTAAACCTTGGGGCGCCAAGGAAGATGCACAAATGACCAGCATGGCGTCTCTGGTTTGCTCGTGCCTGTCTTTGTCTTTTCTGAAAGATTAAATAGTTGCCTGTACACCTCCATCTTTTTGTCATCTTATATCCCGTCATTCACAGAAAAATACCCCCCTTTGTGGCCTTGGCCGTGATATGTCAATTGGTTTCCCAGTGCCTCTCGCAGCCAGACTTGCATCGTGGTGTGTTTGTGAGGAATCACTCCTTCAATTATGTTATAATTGCGTTTCGCCCTGAGAGCTCGCAGTTTAATTTTAATTAGAGCTACCGTGGGTTAATCCATAACAGGAATTGCAAAGAGGTTCATGCGTTGGAGATGGACGAGGGAACCAATTCGCAGATGGCGAGGTATCTATCCCTATCCATGATGCTTTATTACCCCTGTGTTGCGAAATTGGCCACCTGTACAGGCTGGAGAGAGCAGAGGGGACGAATCCAGCACCACCTGGGGGGCCTGTCACTCGTAATAAGGGTCTGGAGGTCTTGGGCATCAGGTGGAGATGGGGGAGAGCAAAGGTACGAGAGAGACACTGGCAGCTCTTTGGCCAAAATACAAGGTAAAACTTGACCTCTCTGAATTTGAGCTGGACGGCTTTCAAACAACAGCTGCTGTGATGGAGCTCCATGAAGCCGACAAAGCCAAGCAGCTTCCAAGAGGAACGTTTTATTGCTCAGAGGTTGCTCTTTCAAAGCTGAGGAGACACATTTAGGTTTCCTTTAAGTGTCAACTGTGCCTCAGACCAGATGTTGCTAGTACAGTTCCTTAGGTGAAATAAAAATAGATGAAAACGACACCATTGTTGAAAGGCAGTATAAGTATAGAGCTATGAAATTAAACGGATTGCAGCTCAAGCTCATTTCTCATTAGATTCCTCCAAGAACAGAACAGTTTGGTTTTAGAGAAACCTATTTTTAACCTCCAATCCTTTTTCTTAGGAGAAAAATCTGAGAAGCAGGACACTTGCTCTCTATGTAATATCATTGCTGTCTAAAAGAATATAAAAAAAACTGAGATATTAGAGAACTTATGATTTTCTTCCAATGGGTTGCGTTTATACCTCGCAATTCTGACGTTTTTCCCTGAATTCTGAGTTGACGTATCGCAATTCTGACTTTTTTCCCTGAATTCTGAGTTTACACCACACAATTCTGAAGTTTTTCCTTGAATTCTGAGTTTATGTGTCGCAATTCTGACTTTTTTCTCTGAATTCTGAGTTTATACCTCGCAATTTGCAATGTTTTTCCTTGAATTCTGAGTTTATACCTCGCAATTCTGACGTTTTTCCCTGAATTCTGAGTTTACACCACGCAATTCTGACGTTTTTCCCTGAATTCTGAGTTT